TATCAAATGCCGCACGACATAGTGATTGGAGTAGGTTTAGACGATGTGCCCGTATCGTCAAACCATTTGGTACATCTCGTATGGCTTCAGTGTTTTCAGTGAACCAGTTTTTAATGTACTAAATAATAAGCAAATTAAAGGATTAAAATCTCTCACCTAATTGAATTTACTGCAGACGTTTTCGACTGGATTGATGAAGGGACTATATGATGGGAGAAATCGGACATGGTGGTTGGCATTTAATTGCGCATCCAAAGCTCTCCGATGAACGGACGCACTGTCAAAGATAAAAACTACTGGGACACTCGGTTGCTCAGCAGCGATTGGCGTAGAGCAGCTTGATAAGAACCCATTGAAAACATGCCAACTGATCTTTGGATGACATTCGTATTTAACGATACCAGCGACAGGTCAAGGCTAAAGGAATGTGGGTTTTGGCTAAAGGATTGTGGGTTTTGGCCAAAGTATTGTGGGTTTTGGCTAAAGGATTGCGGGTCGAGGCTTAAGGATTGCGGGTTTTATCTAAAGCTTTATGGGAAACGGTGTTGAAATCCTTTCTCTTTCTGAATGAACTTTATCGTTTTTTTCCCCACAGAATTCCGGTTGTCGTGCATACGTGAAACATTTAATAATAACTCTCTGAATGGGTCAATCTTTCAAAGAATGAATTTTTGAAAGGCTACTACCATTACTTTATCATAACCCTTTTGGTGATATGTCATTTATCATCCTCTTTTCAATGTGGTCCCATGCAGGTTCAACAATTTTATGTCGCAATTCGGTTTATTGTGCAGTGTTGTTTTTGGTCCACCGATGCAAACGTCCCACTGCTTCTAAAGAGAAATGACAATAAAACAAGTCGCGAGGCACCAGGTACATGTTCTTTAGGGAAAATGATTTTAGTTTTGGTATATTTGGGTTTCATCAATGGAACGCGTCATTCAAACGTATAGCTTTACTAGTATAAATGATAACTTTACTCCGATTTGGTCAATAATTTATCCAACTACTGAGGGTCACTGAAAAATCATTCACTTACCATCTGTTTGCAACCTCCGGCGCTTTGCCATCTAACTACACTTATTTGTGAATCACATTTTCGACGAGCCACTATGACATCTTGTATTTGGTGAATCTCACAATCACGTGAATAATCAGTGAGAAAGCTACCAATCTTCTTCATTCTGTCAATAAATGTGTGCGAGATACAATATAAAAGCCGGTGACTTCCAGTGAACTAGAAACCAATGTACATGAAGTCCAATGTCATGAAAATCCTGTTCATAACTTTCTGTGTCAGCGGGGTTCTCGGTAAGTAACGCAGTATTACTTAATAACGATAATCAGCTGTGGAGGCACAGAGTTGCAAAGATGTTGTTGCTACAAGTGAAGCAAAAAGTGTTGTCGTGCAAAGCAATGTCACCGGCTGTCAGTACCGAGTCACATCGGATTCGGGTAAAACGGTGAAGGTCTACGTTAACGTAAGTCCAAAGGAATTTATTCTAGCGTGGAACTACGAAGCAGTTACCTTACCAGAGTTATAACCCAGCTATTCACTTGTTTGTAGAGCACAAGTGGTACCAAATGTGTGACGGTTGCCAGTGGAGGCGTATCGGAAACTCTATGCCCCCAAGGGACGAACAATCAGTTTACATCCCAGGAACCAATTGAAGTGAGTGCAGAGTCGGGGACTACAACTACTGCTGCAGCCACGACAGAAGCAAGTACAGCGGAAATAACGACAGCTGCGACCAAACCAGGAGGGGATTCGGAACCAAAACTAGATGGATCCAACGTAGATAAAAAAGCGGACGGAAAGTCCAAAACAGAGGAAAAGCAGGAAAAGCAAGCTGATTCTGAAGGAAAAGCAAACGAGCTACAAGGAAAACAGAAGCAACCCGATAATAAGAACGGAGATATGGAGAACCATCCACCCGCAGGTCCGCAAGACCCAAATTTGGAGGAGGGAAGGATTCCGGTTCCTGTTAAACTACTTCGACGTACCAGAGACATCTCCAATACTGATGTAACAGTGTACTATGTCTTGGGTGAGTGTCGCATAGCAGCGATTAGTCTATGCAAAGCACACGATGCATTGCTAACTAACAATTTCCCATTTGCACCAAGTTGAAACTTTATTATTACAGAATCGTGATGAACACGACTTTCACAAAATAATCCTACCCTCTTCTTTAACGTTTCAGACGGTGTATCGAAATCCAAACCCTCAGTGTTTCTTATATTAGCATTTGGTGCACAACTCGTCACTGGTGGTCTACGGTGAGTTGTCAATTATTATACACACTCAGTTTGGCTGATTCGTTTGTTTTATGTGAATCTCAGTAAGTGAAATTCAACTTATGAATCTCATGAAAAAGAAAGAATTTATTTTCTTTTTTTCTTTTCAGAATCAACTGAATAACGGACAAGCAACACACCTCTTATGCTTACTTTACGCATATGTTAAGATAATAGTCAAGCAATAAAAACGTATAATCAAATTGTTCGTCCGTCTTCACAAGCTAATCGAGGTTGATTCGATTGGAACATTTGTACGAACGTAATCAGTATTAGTCATTTTGTTCGTTCCGATGCGATGGAAATGGTCGTAATAACCAACAAAGATCACTTTACAGCTGTTTCGTCTTGCGTATTTTTTGTGTCCCTGACAGAACTCGAAACGCAATCAGTAGGGTCGGGACTCCAAACCCTTAACCCAGAGCTACACGGTGGACGGTTATCACCTTGTGTGAATGGTTCAATCAATTTAGAGTATCAAGCTTGGATTAGCCCATCCGATTGTTCAGAGGCCCTGTGTACTCTCGATGATCTTCAATCTCCAAAAGAGGTAAATCCACACTGAAGGCCATCAAGAGTGTCCGGTGCCTCTGAACAATCGAATGGGCTAATCCAAGCTTCATACTCTATACCGTAGCTAGTTGTTCAAAGTTTGACTATTCGCACTCATTTTTGACGGAAGAAGACTGCAGGCATGATTGCAATACTTGTTTTTCATAACACACAAGGTGTTCATAAATGACTGTAGGTAATCCCGGTAGTTTACAAATGCTAAGACAAAAACAGTTCGAAATATAAGCTGGCTTTTTCGTAACTGGTGAACTGAAAAACACCGTTAACGGCTCGTCACCTGTTGTTGATGTACATTCCAGCCAAAACATTTTTTACGAGTGTTTTTGACAAATGGACGCCGATCAATCATCTAAAAAGAAGACCAATCGGAGAGAAAGCTACCAATCAACTCAATCCCGTAAATATCAGGCACAGTATAAAAGCGAGCGGTTAACAGTGAATTGAAAACAACCAGCATGAAGTCCAAGATCGTAAACTTCCTGTTATACACTTTCTGCGTCAGTGTAGTTGTCGATAAGTAACAAAGTGTCAATGCACCTAATTCACAATGACTAGACACGGAGGCAGAGAGTTGTGAACCAGTTATTGCCTCGAATGATGTGAAAAGTGTTGTAGTGAGAGACAGTGTCTCCGGTTGCCAGTACCGTGTTATGTCGGACTCCAGTGAAGGTCTATATTAACGTAAGTGTACAGGAATTTACACAAGTTGAGTTCGAACCATAAAGCATTTCACGTGAATGAACTAGAGCCTGTCAATTCAATTATTTTCAGGCTACCAGTGGAACGAAATGCGTGAATATAGCGAGTAAAGGGACATCAGAAAAGCTGTGTCCGTTAAGTTTAAATAATCAGTTTATATCCCAGGAAGCAATTGAAGTGAGCGCGGATTTGGAGGCCACAACTTCACAAACAGCGGCAACAGAACCAAGTACAGCACAAACAACGATACGTTAGGATGAACCAGAAATAGATCTCGGGATTCCAGGGCCAGGTGGATCGGATGTGAATAATGAAGAGGTCGCGTAGATAGATGAAGGGAACAGTCAACGTTCTTATACAGAGGTGCATGAAAAGCAGCAAAAGCAACCACCAAAAGTTTCAAACGAGGAGATGGTGAAAGATTCCCCCATAAGTCCGAATCAATCGGAGCAACATCCGAAAAATCCAGACGAAAGCATTGCGGCTCCGAGTAAACTAACTCAAAAGGCCAAAGATACCGCCAATACCGACGATACCGTATACTACGTATTAGGTGGGTATTGCAAAGCAGCGATAAGTTTGTACAAAGTGCAGCGTATTGCAGATCGACTGTTCAAGGAAAAATGTGCAGCTGCTGACACTTGATTTATGCGGAATCATGAAGAAGGAAGCTCAGATAAAACAATGGTATCCCGTATATTCCGTTTCAGATGGTGTAACAAAATCCAATCCCTCATCGTTCCCTATTTTCGGATTGGTTGCATACCTCGTCAATGGCGTCTTTTATTGAGTTATACCTTGTTATAAACACTCAGTATTCTGATCATTTTATGATGCCTAAAATCTGTTTTTTTCAATTTCAACTTATACACCTCATAAAAATGTTTACAATAATAAAATAAAATAACTTCATTTCGGTTTACCGTTTTCAGAATCAGAGAAAAAACGGACAGGCTACAAAAAACTCTACTCTAAACTGTTTGGACTAAAACTGTGATTCATGAGAGTCTTAATGCGGAAAACCTTCAACTGAGAGAGTGATTGCCATTATTCGAAACAGAGAACTTAACGTGTGTAACAGTAAATAAAACGCGTTGTTTAGTTAGCCAACTTCATAGTGACCTCTAAATAAAAGGTAGTTTTTGTAGCACCCCGTTATGTCAAACGACGGTACACACGCAGGCTGACGGAGCTTGCAAATATCCTAGCAGAACAAGATTTCAAACAATGTGGACCTCAATACCTGCATTTCGATTGATTGGGTAATGCCAAGTTACAAAGCGAATAACACTGATGAGTACAGAACAGCAAAAAATTAACAAACGTGTTATTGGAACATATAATTCTTATTTTCATATATGTATGATTTAGGGTAATTCTTTGTAATCCTAGCCTTAATTGTATTTGAATTCACCAGAGCTTTTTGTTCAAGTGAAATTTGGCACTTATTGGGTTCTAACACTTTGGCTTGTCGAACCCTTGAAAATGCATCTACATCCATCCCCAGCTGAAAAAACGTTAGACTGTTTGAGTGAAGGCTCATTCTACGATAGGGAAGTAAACACAAACAGCATACGTTATTTCCGGTAATGATTGCAATGGAAATTTGTTCATTACTAAACTTATTCAACTATTCCGAATATATGATTCTTGTCAACTTCCAAGTTACACCAATGGTCATATTCCAGATTTGGTTAGAAGTTTCAGAATAAACGCATTTTTGAGAGAATGTGCAAGATTATTTATCAGTTTAGCATCCATTTTAGGTTATTCATGAAAACATGATATTAATGAAACTGACCAGGTCTAAGGACCTCAAGCTGAAACGAAATTCGGATCTGTTTTCGAATGTAGGTGTGCAATCGCATAAACCCCAATAACACTCAGTTTTGCCGATCATTTTCAAACACTTGCTTCTCATACCAGACTCATCTTATGCGCAATTCGTTTCCCAAAGTTACAGTTCTCACATAGTTGTTGCTACTGGATGACGTGCAATATGCCTCTTTATGTATTACGATAAATGTCGTTGACTGTGAACACTTTACTGCTTTGTTACTACAGTTGCATTCCACGACCAACACCTCACAAGTGATTGAAACTTGACTGAATTGATCCGTTTAAGTAACAATACCCGGAGAACCTGTTTTACGCGTCAGTGTTTCACGCATAACTCCAGCCCAATGTGTATTTTCAAAGAATTTGTCATCGGATTAGAAGGGTTGATGTGCAAGATAGACAGCTAACGATGACTTATTTTTTACACTTTTCTCTATATTGGGTGTGCGATTACCACAGGTTTGAGATTAGTGCATCACTTGCAGTAGTGGTGTTTGGTTATAGCTAATGCACATGATCCTGAAAACCTCAGGGCTAACATTTATGTGCATTCCTCCCGATGTGGATTACCTGCAGAACATGCATGCCATTAGCGATATGCGTACGGGGGCATGACCAACATGTACCACAGTTTGTCTCCATCGTGTACGTTCGGCATGCAATTTCCTTATTTTGGAATAGGTGATTTAATAAACTTTTTCACTTTTTGTGCAATTGCAGAGCTCTGTTAATTGCTAAAACTCTTCATATTTTGATGAACCCGTTGGATGGCCTTTTTCTGAATCCCAGCAGATGATCATATTTCAGTATTAAAGGATCATCGGTGCGCGTTACGCAAGAGTTATTACCTCACACACAGGATCTGGTAGACTGCATTTCACAAACAGTGTTTCTGAACAGCAAGTCATGACACGCTCTTAAGCACCCAAAGAATGCATTTCCAGCAAGTTAATGACTTGTAAAGGGGACAGAATAAATTGTAATTAATGAAAATACTCTAACGCATTCCATACGGTAGTAAATGATAAACAAAATAATGTACGAGCATTTCCATAAGGTGGGTGATTTCTAATAACCTTATGAATAATCAAGATTTTGTTGAAGTATGGAAAAGCATTGTTCGTTTTCGTGGATGTATAGGCAGGAGGGTGTTGATGTCAGAAGAGTCTGAAGATTCGGGCAGAGATTTAGAAAATTCACGGAGCAAATATACTTCCCTTGATTGTGTTCTTTCCAGGCAAGAAACGTTTCATAAGATTCAAATATCTGGGAACAAACATTCTCAACAAAATGCGATAAGCCTTCCACATTATCGGGAATAATATGATAAGGGGCGTGGAAAACAAAATGAAATCGTTTTCTATCAAATTAGGTAGAAATGTCATAATGCCATATAAGACGTTCACAAAGACACAAGGAATAACAAAGTTAGGATTAGCATTACATAGAGCCACAGATTTCCCTAGGCTATAGGAGTAACCAAACAGTTTTCGAACAGTAATAAAAATCTGAAAACATGTGCGGACCAATACAGATTATGAGTAAGTATGATATCAACCCGTTTAACTAAAACGTATTTGAGGATGCTGTGATTATGAACTACGCGATCAGGGAGCATACTTGCAAATGAAGAATAGCGGTACTGGTTCGAAGATTATTCGGAACATCAAAACATAAATTATGGTTAATTACAATAGGTCGGGGAGTAGGTTCATTATGTTGTTACACAACGCTGTTCTGAGGAGGCGGAAAACTGCTTGCAGTAGCGGATGGGCAACCAGTCACAATATCACAATATTGATTATCAATGAAGTTACGACAAATAGAGAGATTCTGTGTGTAAATTGAAAAACGAAACGTGAAAAATCAGAACACTGTAAAAATTCCAAAAGCCATGGTGATGTAAGACGATCATGCACCATTAGATAAAGTCAACTGGATCCTAGGGAGAAAAAAATATCCTTTGTAACATACAAAATTTCAGGTGGTGGACCACAATCAGAAAGAAGTTTGATTAGCACTCTTCGGTCGAGCTAACATAAGGCATTTACGTAATCAAAAAATATTGAGACTGGAAATTTGTCGGATACGACAGAGTGGTCAATGTGGACAAGCGCGTCTACTGTAGACCGCCTGTATTGATATCCAAAAGGCCGTGAAATGTGCATAAGGGTATTCTGTGGTGCAGGTAAGGAATTCCAAACGTTTTCAACAACTTAGATGGACCGGCAATTATATAGTACACTGATAATTCACTAGAAAATCGATCATTGAACAAAGTTCCGATATAACGGCTGCAATTTATTTCCATCGAATTGTAATAAGTCTCTGTTGTGGGATAATTACAGTTCATTCTTAGTCTCCATATAAATCCACAGTCTGCTTGTTAAACCGAAGTTTAAGGAAAAAACGTTGTGATATACTTTGCATGGATGTGCTTAGTGCATTAATAAGTCTTCTTGTGAAACGTAATAGCAGGTTTTAACGTCGAACATCTCTCTACCAAACGAATCGACTGCTCTCCATTTCGTTCGATTACGGTCGTTATTGAGCACGGTATGGACAAACTACTGTTGATGTACAACTGAATGTGGTTGGTGGATTAGTGTTGAAAATCGGACGATCACTTAGGCGACTCACAAGCTATAACCTTTGACTTTCCAGTAAGCATGCCTTTCCACTGTTACGTGGTGCACGAAATGCAAATTGCATTGCACGGAGTGCATCGGAAGCACCTCACTGCCTTACTGGTAAATAATGGAGTGAATTTTTTATCAACCAAATGCAATTGGATCGCATAACATGGACGTGTTATTCGTCACGTCTTCAATCTCACCGACCATATTTCTATAAAACATTTGAAATCATAGTTGCCAGATCGAAATGAAGAGCGCAGGAGAAGGCCTTTATTTATGTTACAGTTATTAAAGAGCCAGTCGGTTCTTCTTTGCAATTAGCGTAAAATAGAATCCTGAATTGGGAGCCACCCAAAGCACAAACTGAAGTTGTTGACTAAAATGAAAACAAGAAACTTCACAATTTAGAACGTGGAAATGAATGTTCAGAATCATTTTAATCACTACAGTACCAGCTTGATCGATAATCACATGAACCGGCACATAGGTTGCGATACAGGGCAAAGGTATCAGAAACATCCCGGATCAGTAACAAACGGCGCAAATGCTCATGCTTCTGCTCCCTTTGCCTTTGAATTGATTGGATAGGATTGTTTTCGCCGCGGAGACCAGGCACAGTGTATGGAGAAAAAAGAGGAATTGGATTTGCTGTAGACATTTAACAGAAAATATTGAAATAATGCGATAGGTGATATTGGGAAAAAGTGCATACACAATGCAGCGAAAATCGCCTCTCTTTACTAGCCCGTTTGGAGAATCACAAAGGACACTTATGCCATACTGCGATTATTTCAACCACAAACAAGAAATTCATTCTCTTATTTATCACGGTATTAAGCATTGTTTTTTTTAAACAAAACATGAAAGTTCAGCCAAATTACAAAAAGATACGTTTTCAGTTAAAGCTTACTAATAGTGAGTTGACAAGCGAGACTATGTCTAATTACAAGTACAACGAAGTGATCAACAATAGAGTTTACACATTGGTGTCGTCAAATTCATATTATCATGATGATCACAAATTCATACTGACCCCCAACAAATGATCATACAATGCGGCTTCATGATGCTCATTTTAGTCACCAGTTTACGATTTTTCGTGCCATACCTTGGGAATGAAACTACGTCATCAAATGGACATCATATATTGCTGTCATCTCAATCTTTACG